TGGTAGAACAGGCCTATCCCCGACGGCGCAATGATGCGGCAGCGGGCGAAAGAGATGAGTGAGTGCGGGTGTGCGGGAGGGTGCGTTTGTTGCCTTGGTTGGTGGGTGAGTGAGTGGTGATGATGTAGTTTACGTCTGGATGGAGGTACGAGGTAGCATTCGTAGTAGCAGTTCGCTATCCCTAGTCCCCTTGAAGATCAGTTGGGGTATTTTCTTGCCGTCTTGTCGTTTTCTTCTTCGCGCGTGTGCGCGCGCTCTCTCTCTCTCTCTGACTCTCTATATTGTCTGTCTCGAGCTCAGAGATGGTTTCCGCAGCGAACAAATCCTTGCATTCTTAAACAGAACTTCCAACGGTGATGGCCGCGCTACGAGTAATGCGTTCACTAGGTGAAGGATCTGCTTGGTATAGGCGCACTAGACCAGTCCAAAGATCCAAGAATAGGTCTCAGTCTCACGTCAAGGTGGGAGGGGGTGCACAGCCAGCCTCGGTCGATAGCCGCAGGCTTGCGGGCCAATGCTGATGTGTACGGGTATTGTACCTCGTACATAGAGCGCATAATACACCCAGTATGATTGTGGGACAGTGGCGACATGTCTCCCCGGTCATTGGCCTGCTAAGTCACACAGGCGTAACAGGGTCACCCAAGGGTCGCAATTGTTACAAGGCCCGCGAAAGCCCCAGCGATCAGCTGCTGGAGCCAAAAAGTAAATTAATAGATACGCGGGATTGTGGGGTGACAAGGCCCGCCCCAACCGAGGTAACCAAGATGGGAACTTGTATAAAGTACCGGGTATATATGTACTAACATTCCTCTTGATCATGGGTGGTAATCTTGTGCGGGAGGAATGGTGGACCGTAAGTGCGGGAGGCGCATTAGATTTTGGTGCATTTTCGAGGGATTGGTATCTTGTTAAAATTGACCAGGCCAGAGAAGCCTTTGACCAACAGTAATGTTATCCACATATTGGGAGTCGAGATAAAAGTACATGGTGATGGTACATATGTGCATGGTACATTCAGTGTGTCTGTTCTCGACCGAGCAGCACTTCCTGTGTGAAATACTTGCCTGTAGAGAAAGAAACATAGTCTCCTCAGTTGCTGCGATTGTTTCCATATTGTGCGACTTTGGGGATCGGTGGTCTGTCTGATAGTCGGTAGACAACCGAAACAGAAGCACAGACAGAACTGCAGAGGCTGCTTCGCCTGTCGTGTTATCGCTTTGAAAGTGGTTCGTCAATCCATGGCAACCGCCAAGTCGACGTTGTGTTTCCCAGGGCTTGGGCTGACAACTGGAAGGATCAGTCAACCAGGAACCCGAGCGCCCTTCTTGACATCCGTCTCTTCTTGAGGTAGGCATTGCTGTATTGTGCTGCCGCTATGTTGACACAAATTCTCAGGTGGATGCGCGCAATAGCTGCGATGTCGCCGTCTGAATGGCTGGTGACAAGTAGAACCAGTTTACAATGGTTTCACGCCTCGATGAATGCTGGCAATACCTCCCGTCAGGTCTTCATAGCCTTTCCCCGGTGTGACGAAGCCGGCCTCTTCGATCATCGACTTAAACTCCTCCTGTGTGGGGAATCGCTCGATGCTTTCAACAAGGTACTGATAACTGTCCCGATCACCAGCCACCAACTGACCAATCAAAGGTATAGCGCCAAAACTCCATCTCTTGTAGACGGCATTGAACAGTGAGTTGTTAACATGGCTGAACTCTAGACACGCGAAAACTCCGCCTGGTTTGAGGACTCGAAATGCTTCACGAATGGCAGCATCTTTATTGGTGAAATTGCGGATCCCGAAGGCAACCGTGTAAAGATCAATGGAATTCGACTCGATCGAAGGCATGGATTCGGCGTTCCCCTCCATGAATGATAGTCGCCCTGAATTCCAATACGGTGTTTCCTGGGCTCTTTTCTGTCCTTCAGCCAGCATGTCTGCATTGATGTCCGCGATGGTGACTTTTGTTTTAACGTCGAGATTCACATTGGTAGCGTGGTCAAGCATGCGGAATGCAATGTCGCCAGTGCCTCCTGCCACATCAAGAATATTCCAGCCCTTTTCGCTGGTTCGGCTGCCCGGGTTGAGGCTGCGGACGAAATAGTCCTTCCAGAGGCGGTGGATGCCCAATGACATAAGGTCGTTCATGGTATCATATGAGGACGCGACGGATGAGAAAACAGCACCCACTAACAAGGTGTAAGCATGTAGTCCAATATAACCTGTATTTAGACGCTACCTCTTGCCTCCTTTTGCGTCTCTGAGACGGTCTCAAAGCCGAAGTGAGTTGTGCGTTCATTTTCACTGGGGAGGTGCTGGCGTCGTAGCGAACTCGTAGTAAGGAATCGTTGCGGCGACGTCGAACCGACACAGCAGCTTCGTAGGCCGTGAGGCCTTCGGTAGAGCGGGCGAAGCATTTGTTCCAGCTCAAATATGATCTGCGCTGGACAACTTCAATCTCCAGAGCGAATCGCAGCTAAGACCAATTTTCGTGAATCTGAATTCCCAAAACAGTCTAGTTCGCACGGGCCCGAAACAGCCTCAACTTCCTCCGACTCCGGCATCTCCTTGCTCCGGCAGTGGCCGAGGATAACCGAAGTCCCTATTCCACCCTTTCGACGCTTCCTCGTCGTCCTTGTCGCGACTCTTCCTTCTCTTCTTAATCTACCCTCATAGCATCAAGCATCTCTTCCATTGTTTTAGGGTGGCCTCGTTGCTTTTGACAAGTGAAGATGAAAAGTCGAGCTGTTCTGAGGCCCTTGGCGGCATCCTGCAGATACAAACATGCGATACTGCTGAGGAGATCAGGGATACGATGGGCAAGCGATACCTGGTCTGCCGGCCCTGCACAGAAAGCAGGATCGGATTCGTACGTTTCTCCGTCCGCGGTTGTTGTCCCCGGTCTCGTTTGCTGATTCCATGGCCCCAGAGTGCATTTCCCAGGAGCTCTCAAGAGTAAATTTACCTCGACCATGCGGTTTCAGAATCCAGCCGAGGAGAACGCGATGCCAACTTACAGGATAATGGATGCAGACGGTAATATTGTGGACACCACCAGAGATCCACAATCTGCATCTGACGACGAAATCATTCAGTGGTATCGCACTATGTTGACCGTCAGTATTATGGATTTGATCGCGTTTGAAGCACAACGGCAAGGACGATTCAGCTTTTATATGGTCTCTGCCGGTGAAGAAGGTATTGCGGTAGGATCAGCCTCGGCACTAACACCAGAGGATGTTTGTTTTCTGCAGTATCGCGAGCAAGGGGTGCTCTTGCACCGAGGCTTCACACTGAAGGAGATGATGAGCCAATTGTTTTCAAACAAAGACGATAACGGCAAAGGACGAAATATGCCTGTCCATTATGGCAGTGGAAAGCACAACGTCCATACAATTTCGAGCCCTTTAGCGACCCAGATTCCTCAGGCGGCTGGGGCCGCATATGCGTTGAAAATGCAGCGGCTCCTTAATCCGAATGTGCCCCCAAGGATTGTCGCTTGTTACTTTGGAGAGGGCGCGGCAAGTGAAGGGGATTTCCACGCTGCACTCAATATCGCCGCCACAAAGTCTTGTCCCATTGTATTTGTCTGTCGCAACAATGGCTTTGCTATTTCAACGGCGAGCATTGAACAGTACAAGGGAGATGGCATCGCTAGTCGAGGTTTAGGGTACGGTATCGATACCATCCGGGTGGATGGCAACGATATCTTTGCCGTGAGGGCGGTCATGCTGGAAGCCAGGAAACGCGCCCTTGAAGGCGATTGCAAACCCATCCTAGTCGAAGCTATGAGTTACCGAGTGAGTCATCACAGCACTAGCGACGACAGTTTCGCCTATCGAGCCAAAAGAGAGGTAGAGGAGTGGAAACGAAGAGACAACCCCATTACACGGCTCCGCAAGTGGATGGAAAAGAAGGGTATCTGGGACGAGGACAAAGAAAAGGAAGCGAGGGCGTCAATCCGCAAAGAAGTCTTGCGAGAGTTTTCAGCTGCAGAAAAAGTCAAGAAACCACCGGTCCGAGCGATGTTCGAGGATGTCTACGAGGAACTCACTCCAGAGACTCGAGCCCACATGAAAGAACTGAAGCGAATAATCGAAAAGTATCCAAAGGAGTATAGCGGCATTTCCGAGCATGAAGGAGGACTCAAGAGTCTGGAGGAATGAGTCCAGATCGGTTGAGGGCGAACTCAACGCCACCAGAATACCCGATGGATGAGCCGTGGGCCGGCCATCGAAGCATCACCACTATATCACTCCAATCAAAGCAGACTGAGGAAACCACGGGTTATTCGTGCTGGACCCGTGATGATGGGACACGTTATGGACAACGAGGCTGAGGGTGGAGGAAGCGGAGAGGCAGCGAGTGACACGTGCACGAAACCGCCGATTGGGAGGCTGGGGACGCCATAGTGGCCGCTTGGCGCCACTGTGGCTTGATGATTGCCAAGCCGGGAATATTGAACGGCTTCCAGCCACCCACGTTCCGGCCGCCGCTGCAGGGTCCAATATTCGACGCTATTCCTGATAAGGCTAAGACCGTTTTCGTCAGCCTCGAGCTGGGCTTCCAGCCTCCCTCAATCTCTCCAATCCCATTGTCCATCTTATTGTTTTCTGTGAATAGAAGTCTCTCACTGTGGTGATGGCCAATAATCAGATATCCCGCTAGCTGAAATGGTCGAAAATGTTTCCCGGTTACCGCTTTGGCGTCAGGAGATTGTGGTGCTGTCCATGAGAGCTGACGTCGTCTTTGTCTACCAGCCTCCTCGCCGGGGAAACCATCAGTGACTACTTTTTGTTACCATGGCCATGGATCCTTTTTCTACTGTGACAATCTCAATATCCTCTTCTTTACTTGTTCAGTGAATATCCGCTCGTGCACCTTATTGTGTATTACTGTCATGCCATCAACTTGAGTTTGCTTGATCCTCCCAGCAATTTTCCGGTTGCTCAGTTTTTGCTGCATTGTTCCGGCGTTCGATATTTTTACACTGTACAAAATGTATTCCACACTGGCGGGCTCAGCCCTCACTGTGTTGACCCTTTGTTCCATCGTACCACGCACAGAAGCACAGACGTACTCGTCATGTAATCCTCTTCTACAAAGTGAGTCTATTTCTCTACCTCGGCTTTTGGAATCGAAGACTGACTGCGCTCAGGTGGATGTCCTGCAGACCCTGCTCTCGGCAGGACTGTCGACATTGATTTCACAGCAGGCTCCTCGAGCGAATTCGGCGCCTCAGGAGCAGTAAGTTACACCTCCGACGGCGCAGCATTCACGATCTCCCAGCACGGCGATGCTCCTACCCTCTCTTCGAATTGGTACATAATGTTCGGCCACGTCGATTATGTGGTGAAAGCGGCTCCAGGAACGGGAATAGTGAGCGCCGCTATTCTGCAGTCTGATTGCCTTGACGAGATCGACTGGGAATGGATAGGTGGGGATAATACACAAGCCCAGAGCAATTACTTTGGGAAGGGCATCACAACAACTGGCTACAACCGAGGAGCATTTCATGGAGCACCCAACAACCATGACGAGTTTCACACCTACAGCATTGACTGGACTGCCGACCAGATTGTTTGGTCGATCGATGGCACCACAGTTCGAGTCATGACCCAAGACCAAGCAGAAGCCGGCCAATATCCCCAGACTCCAATGTACGTCAAGTTAGGTACTTGGGCTGGTGGCGATTCATCCAACCCTGAAGGCACAATTCAGTGGGCCGGAGGCGTTACCGACTACTCCGCGGGGCCCTTCACCATGTATGTGAAGTCTGTCCATGTCACGGACTACTCGACAGGGTCACAATACACCTACAGTGGTACCAGCGGTACCTGGCAATCCATCAGTTCGACTGGCGGCCAAATCAACAGTGAAGGTGACGGTACTCCAGCTGCGACTGGAACAGCACCTGCAGTCACTTCCTCCGTGCCCAATGATGCGCCACTTGCTTTTGGAAACAGCGGTGACACCTCTTCAGTGTATGCTACGCGAACAGGCTGGCCGTGGTCTGGAACGGCCACAGCCACAGCAGTGTCTGTGGTAAGCTCTTCAATTTCTGGGCTGACAAGTCAGTGGATTCCTATCTTGCATCAGCTCGAACTCTAGTGCGCATGTGCTAACTGTTTACTAGTCGACATCTCCCTCCCTATATTCGTCTCCATCGGTAGTATCATCTTCGGCCTCGGCCTCGGCTTCGCTTGAGGTTGTGACTTCTTATGACGGACAAGGCTTTCCTACAATCATTACCATCAACCCTGCGGCGCCAACAATACCAACAAGTTACGACAGTCAGGGCTTTCCAATTACCAACACCAGCCTCATTTCTGAGCCAACCTCTCAGCCTGCGACAGTACAAGGATCGTCAATCACAGCCGCATCAGGCTCCGCATTGGTGAGCTCAGTATCTTCGAATTCGGCCTCAGCACCATCCGAAGGCCCGAGCTCCGCAGCCTCAGCTCCACAGAGCTCCAGCGCTACAGCATCGGAGGCCTCTGAGACCGCAAACACGTCGTTCATGACAATTTCTACCTCAACACCCCTCGGTTTCATCCCCACTTCGGGTTCGAGCTCTGTGTCCGCCCCCGTCTCTGCCACGGCGTCGACAACCGTTATTTCCGGCGAAACGGGGTCAATAACCACATCATTGTCCAGCTCTCCATCCAACCCAAGCAGCAGCTCGTCTTTTATTAGCCTGATCACTTCCCAATCGCAGACCACTCTGTCAAACTCTGGGGTTGCTGTTGGGAGCTCAACTACAAGTAGCACGATCGCCGCAACTAACTCCGACAGCAGATCAGCATTAGGCTCGGGTTCGTCTACAGCGTCACTTTCTTCGACACTTCGGTCGTCCTCGCTCTCAAGCAGCGAGATCAGGAGCAGCAGGACCAGTACGATCAGCTCACACCAAAGTACATCCACGACAGCATCAAGTCAAGTGTTGAGTGGAACAGCAACACTTTCAGCATCCGCTACAACATCAGGCACGCCGCCTGCGGTGAATCTTGCAGGTCAAATACGGAGTTTTCATCCACTCGGAGGGGTTATGGTGCTAGGGGCAGGGGCCTTATGCTTGTTTTGAAGCAAAAGCTTGGAGGGGCGTTAACTAATTATTGACGTGGGCGGCATTTGTCAGCCTACCAGGGTTTTGTAATGGAGGGTGGCGTTGGAAGGTTTCCAGAAGGCCTTTCAGGGGTCTGAAGGCCTTTCAGGGGTCTGGCGCAAAATGCACGAGGCTGCAGCAGCTTAGGGATAAGGTAACTTGGTATTGGTGGCGCATCAGACGTTGATGAGAAATGATAGTGATACCCAGATAGAAGGATAGATAGAATTGGCCTCGTCCGCCCCTCGGACTGATTTTTGGCACCGATGAAAAATACAATGCAATAGGAACCCGACATTGCGCGATCCACGGAAACTCTACTTCCTGACTGGGCTGTTTATTGTCATGCGCTTGGTTGCTCTTTTGATCTAAACGAATTTTGACTTATCGCCTCGAGACGAGGACCGAGAACAGAGGCGGCCCTCGTCAATCGTTATCAGAACCACGAGCAGCATTCGACAGACAAACCGCTCATTTCCGTCTCTGAAATAGGAAACACAGAAGTCATGGAAGGCGGCGGCTGACCATCGGTATCTTTCCCTTGTTCCCCCCTCGCAAAAAGCCTATCCCTGAGCCTAACGAGGTGGAGGCTTTCCATACTCCGTGGAAAGGCTGGCTCCCCTGCCTTGCCTGCCCACCAGCACCCACCACAAAAACGTATTCGTAGGTACGTCACAAAATCAACCATCCGCACAAACTTGTGTAAATTTCTCCACTAAACTTTTCCCTCTGTTCCTGGTCATTTCTCTGTAGTTACACTACCGGATCCAGCCCGCCACTGGCCGAGCGAGCGAGCATTTCGCTACTCTGCATGCCTCCATCCTTAAAACCTGCAACCATCCCACTCCCTCACCACTCTAACAACTCCAGGGTTTCGATACGCACAAACCCACCTCCTCTGCCTGACTCTCCCTTTCCTCATCTTCCTCGTCTTCCTACCCCTCCTCCTCCACCTCCTACCGTACCGCCATGGCGACAGTGGCCCCCACCGACATCTCACAGACCCATCCCTACACCTGCAATTCGTGTGCGGTCGCCTTCCGCAACAGTGATGCCCAACGGACTCATATGCGGAGTGACTGGCACAGATACAACCTGAAGCGCAGGCTGGCTGAGTTACCCGCAGTCTCGTCTGAAGATTACAACGAGAAAGTTTTGGCTGCTCAGGCTACCAACAACGCAGCCGCCGCCCAAGCAGCCTATGCAAAAGTGTGTGCCACCTGCCAAAAGACGTACTATAGTGAAAATGCATACCAGAACCACCTGTCAAGCAAAGCACACAGGACAAGAGAGAGTAGAGGCTCAACACGAGACGCAAGTTCTATAACTGGGTCTGACGGCCGGCGGTCATTCTCCGCGCTGGAGTCCATACCAGACTCTGAATCTCGAGACTCAACAGCAGAGGCAGAGTTCGAGCAGGTTGTTGCAGGGATAAAAGAGACCTCCATCCAAGACATGCCTGAAATCACACGGAGACCCTCGAACCCTCAGCCGGGGACGGGACCGCGAGGGGACCATCCCATGTCACCAGAAAAGGCCAAAGTTCCGTCTATGCCCATTTCAAGGTGTCTGTTCTGCAACTATGACTCCCCCAATCTGAAACTCAGCGTCATGCACATGACCAAGATCCACGGGCTCTTCATTCCCGAACAAAACTTTCTCGTCGACCTGGAAGGTCTGATCCGGTATATGCAAGCGAAGGTTCACCAAAATTTCGAGTGCCTATACTGCCACAAACTGAGAGGAAATGCAGAAGGTGTGCAGACACACATGAGGGACAAGGCTCATTGCAAGATTGCCTTTGAGACGGAGGAAGAACTGATCGAGGTGGGCCAGTTCTATGACTTTTCCAGCACCTATTCAGACGACGGCGAAGAGGATTCTGGCGGAGCAATGGAAGGAGTCAAGGCGGGACAGAACGGTGGCGTCAAATTGGAGGGTTCAGGAGAAGACGGTGCAGACGACGGCTGGGAAACTGATTCGTCCTTTTCCTCGCTCGATACCAACGAACTTGCCTCTGTCCCGAATGATGATCGAACACTGTCCTATCAACGACTTCCCTTGCACAGACATCACTCCAACACTGACCCGAGACCGCACCGGAACGCAGACGGCTGGCACTCGCACGCACACAACCATACTAATGCAGTGTTCTATGACGAACATGAAATGCATCTGCCCAGTGGCAGAGTGGCAGGCCACCGAAGCTTGAGGAAATATTACCGCCAAAATCTGCACAACTATCCTACCGCCGCTGAGCGAATGGAGCGTGCTCAGAGATTGATTGAAGAAGGGAGCTCAGAAGACGCAGACATGGACGAGGTCGATCTTCCAGCCACGCCTCCGCGAAACAGTCTCATGAGACGGGGAGAGGCTGGTATGCTTGGTGCTACGAACCAGCAGAGACGAGACGTCCGCTCTGAAGAGATCAGAGCCAGACAGAGAGAGAGGCGGGCGCAGAATCGGTATCAGGCCAAGCTGGAGAAGCAGGCCAACAGTCAAAAGCACTACAGGGTAAGTGTTGGAGAGATTGTGTGTTTGACCACGGGAACGCTGACAGGTTTCCAGGATCCACTCTTGCAGTGATCAATGAATCATATCCCCTCTATGCCGACCGATCCGAGTGCGGCCGAAGACCTTTCTAACCTACCAGCATCTCTTCTGACGAGCTGTGAATAGCATTCCTTATGTTGCATATCATGCATATCGCGGGTTATAAAAAGCTGGGTCGGGAAACAAGGAAAATGACACGACGCGACGAGACACGATGGCCTAAAATCCGGAGGTTTCTGCATCTGTGACTTGCATTGCAGGATTCACGTTGTCCTCGACAGAGAGGACGAGCCTGGCGCTACCTTGAATTCTGCCTGATAGTTTATTATCCATAGCGAACGGACGCATTACAGTCGTTGCTGCGGAGCAGCCATATCATCTGACCTTTAGTGGTACTTCGGGCATGCTTGATGTTGTAGATGCATCACAATAGAAATGTCTGGCCGCATGGATTTCTTGATGGGCAGCCTCGTTAGCAAAGCACACACTCTTCGCAGTCTATATCAATGATCCGTAGTACTTTGTCAACGGAAGCGTGGCAACCAAGGCTCATGTACATGTAACGAGCAATATGCAGTACATGACGAGTAGGTAGCGACATGGGCACCTGTAAACACTCCACCGGAGGAGACATGAGCGCAGGGACGACACGATACGGTGGACTGAACGGCAATTTATGCAGGCTTGGCGGCTACTTGCTCGATTGGTACCTCGAAGATCCCATTCTCGGAGCTCCCCAGATTATTCGCTGTCGATTGTACCTTGGTCACTTTCCCTGATAGCGTTGCCAATTCGTCTCGTCTCACTCACTCGCTCACTCGCAGTGTTCCCTATCAATTCGAATCTCCCGGACCTCTTGTTCGATCAATCCCTCTAGACGCAGCATTCTCCTCCTCGCGCAATGGCCAAAAAAGGTACGTTTTGACTCTCTCCCAATGCAGTTCCTGGGGGTTATTTCTTTCTTTTTTTTTTGTTGTCTCCCCCAACCAGTCAACCAACCCTCCTCCGCCGCTCTACAATTCTTCCCTCGAAACTAACACTCCGTGATTCCCGTTTGAACAGCCAAATCCCGCACGATCGCCGTCCGACTAATCTCCATGGCCCTGACGGGGTATTACCGCACGATGGTGCGGCCTCGCACATCGAGGCCGCTGAGCATGATGAAGTACGACCCCGTGGTCAAGCGGCAGGTGCTGTTTCTGGAGCAGAAGCGCGGGAAGTAAAAACAGTCTTAGAAGATTCAGGATACTTTGCCATTTGAACGGGAAAAAGATATGGATATGGGATGATGTGATTGGGAGGATGGAGGGGGCGGGGACAGAAAAAGCGGAAGAGGAGGGAAGAAGTTTGAGATGTAATGTGTCGGGCAACACTTGAGGGTCGCAAGTATCCCCCCTTGCTTGGCTCCGCTGGGTCGTGGCATCAATTTTCAATCTGGCCTGGGTGGGAAAAGAGCTGTTTAGACGAACCGAGACCCCAAACGAGAACGATAGGGGGAGCGGGGATTTCCAAGGGAAACAAGACTGGGGTTCGGAGACAAGAATGAGGACCAGTCTGTTCCATTGAGCTGTGGTCAAAGTGCTGCGGGAGGGGAAACACATTCAAGCTCTGGAACCTGGGATGATGAGCATGATAGCTCCAGTGGGTGCTCATCCTCGAGACACCAATCGTTGCTGGCAGCGCAACTCCAAGCTCAAGATGGGCGACGAGGGGCGAGGTATTACCCCGACAAGGGCTGAAGAACTGAAATCCCGACAGCACGGCACATGGCAGTCTCAAACACCAGCTCGCACAGCCTCTCTGATCTCTGCCTCTACTCGAACAACGCTGGCTCTGATCATCTGGCCGAAACCCAAACCCCGGATCAACAAAGCCAAAACACGGGCTCTCGCTCGCGCTCTCGCACTCCCACTCTACTGATCTCCGCTCTCTGCCGACAATGTGAAACCCACCAGCTCAAATCGAGTTCAGGCCGACCAAGCACGTCTTCCGCACCATCAGTCCATCATCACATCCAGACAGACAGCATCATACAGGGAAGGCGTTGAGGGATGTCGTTGGAAAAGCCGAATCGAACCGAAGCGACCCGCCAAGAGTCCAACCACCTTCACCGTGTTGGTATGGTCTTGTATGTCTCTGTGTGGACTCGCCGCCCGCAGCACGCAGCACGCAGTTCAAACGTCTCGTGGCATTGGTTATCCAGCTGAGCCGAGCTGGGCTGTGGTATACCAAGTATGAGGTTTGGTTTTTTTTTTAAGAGGAAACGGCCAGATCGAGAATTAGGGGAGAGAAGTAAGGGAACGAAGAGGCGGTCCCGGAACGACCAGGCACAAGCCAAGTCACAAAGTCTGCTCTCGCCTCGCCTTGTATCTCATGTTATATAATAGGATTGCGATGGGAATGCTAGCTGTCTCTTGATATCTAGCCACGTTCTGATGCGTCCAAAGTTGTCCACTGTTACTGTCCACTGGTCACTCTGTAGGTATCATGGCGATAGACGGCTTGCTGCGTACCAAGTACAGATTACAAAATATATCTCTTGACTTGCCATGTCTGCTTGTATATATACATACAGTACGAGGTACACATATATAGCCCTAATGACATACATGTCTCATCTACAGTATCATACAGAGTCTGACACAGAAAGACCTCCGCGTACCTCATACCATGCTTCCCTCTGACCATCTCTGCAAGCTCCTCGAAAATCCCGCTACATGATCCTCCCGTCCCTAGGCCGCAGAGATCGAGGGAACAATGGTGGTCGCGTCCATACAAAATCTCTGGTGTATATCCCACTTGATGTCTCTCTTTTTTTTTGGTCTTTGTTTTCTCCCATTCTTTCTTGCAAAATATGGTCGCCCAGACTCTCTGTTGTCATCCTGTTTATTTTTTCGCTAACTTGGCTCTCTGTCCCTTAGAAACTCCCACGTCCTTCCCCGTCGACGACTTTGGGTCGCATCAAGTCTCAGTGCCGAACCGCGTGGCGTACTTGTCTTGCCGAGACCCTTTTCGAGCCGGTCGATTCGATCGCTTACTCTGACCAGGGCCCGGAGCATTCGTTCCCACGATGCTGCTGCTATTGCTACCACCACCGCTGCTCTTACCGAAACTGACGGCACCTCGGGATGAAGACTTTTCCACTCTCTGCTTCGGCGTTGTGGGCTGTAATTTCCCCGCCTCGAGGATGGCAGCTGTTCGCTTGAGACGCTTGGGGTGCTCTGTGGGCGTTTTGACCTCATCATTCTCGGGCTCTACTCGACGTTTGGCTGCCGAATTGGGTCGATGTCTCTCACGCTCACGTGTGATGACAGGTGTAGATGCTCGATTGCCTTGAAACTCGACGCTAGGGCCAGGAGAAGCAGTGGACCGATGACTGTAACCTCGAAGTTCGCTTCTCAATCTCCTGGGACTCGGTCCTTGCTTCGCCATCACCCTATTTCCAGGCATGGCAAAGGTCGGCTGGATCTGAACGGTGTCGATACTGCCTGGACCTTGAGACCCACGTTCGCTGACTTGATCCAGAAGCATTTGTTCACTCATCGACCCGTATGAGCTGGACGGGGGTCGCTCAGCAGTCTCCTCGTGGCGGTTGATCCCGCTACGTCCCCCCGGCCAGACTTGCGTTCTACCACGGCTGTACTGCCTCATACTGGGATCAAAGCCTTGGTTAACCGCGTCGTCGAGATCAGCCTCCCCGTGATCACTCGGAACTGGACTAAGGCCCGAGGCACTATCTTCCTGGCCCTGGCTTGCAGATAGTATAAGGCAATCTGAATTCACTGTTAGGGACTGTTGGACTTCAAGCTGTGTCTCGGGTACAATTTGTAGGGCAGCAGTTACTGAATCCGACTGACTGAAGGGCAAAGCACTGTTGCCAACGAGATATTGAACATTGCCTCCATTGGAACTCGGACGTGTGTGGAGTGATTGGTTGTGATGGGAGTCTTCTGCACCTCCGGAACGATCTGCAACTCGGCGTTGCGGCTGACTGGGTTCTGCCTCATCACCATCAAGTTTGGCATTGGGCTCGGCGCCTTCAAGAGTAAGGATTTGCTGTTGCATGGCTGCTGACCGCTCCTCTTTCTCATGAGCTTGGGCCCGAAGAACCTTGAGTTCTTCGGCTTGGTTGCTGAACGACGCCAGATCCTTTCTCAGTTCGGTGATTTGACTCTCTCGCCGTGTGACGGTCTCCTGCAAGAGAGCAATCTGAGCGCACTGCTCCTTCGATCGTTCAAGGTCCGTTGTAACAGCCTTGATGGTCCCCTTGAGGGTAAAATTTTCTCTTTCTAGCTCGCCGAGTTGTGCCACTTGAATCTGAGCAGCAGCAAGAGCAGATTCGAGTACAGCAATCTTGGTGATTTTTTGCTGGAGTTTCTGCTGCAGGTCCTTGTTCTCGGACACCTGTGCCCTCAAGTCCTTCAAGTCATTGTGGAGGCCAGCGTTTTCCTCGGCGAATTGGTCCTTTTCTCTCGCCTGTTCTTCGAGAACGGTAGATCTAATTCGCAGGCTCTGGAGCTGTTTCTGGAGGGTTTCTATATCCTTGGACTTGTTCGCAATCTGCTGGATCTGAGATGCAGACTCCTCTTTGAGGCGCTCCAGAGAGGATTGTTGCTTTCTTAGATACTCCAGCTCTGCCGTAGCCTCGTCCAGGGATTTCAAGGTCTCTTTGAGCTGTCGAACGGTATCGTCTGCGCCAGTCAATCTGTGTTCAAGTTTATCTATCTGGCTTTGCAGCTGTTGCTGAGCCGTGACCGCTGTAACTGTGTCTTTACGAGATTGCTCAAGATCTCGTCGTAATTGCAAGTCCTGAGCTTTGGTCCTCGCTATTTCATCGTCAATTTCAAGGCTTCTCTGTATCTCATGGTCATGATCCCTCTGTAGACTCGAGAGACGGGCATTCGTGTTCATCAACTACTTGTCGTTAGCAGTGTCCTGATCAGCCGGGTAGAGATCCTTACCTCTATATTTTGCTCTTCATTTTGTTGCTGGAGTTCGCTCAAAATGCTTTCTCCTGCGATCAATTCAGCTCGAAGACAATTGTGCTCGGTCATGGCTTCGTTCAGCCGGATCGTCAAATCAATCACATCCGCATGGATTTCGTTCTTGTCTTGCTTGCATTTTTCCAGCTCAGAGCACGCCGTTTGCCACTTTGTTGTGACCGTTCTCAACGAAGTTCGGAGCTCCTCACTTTGAACGATAGCTGCCTCTCTGTTGTTTCGAAGGCCTTTGTTGGTGTTGTGCAACTCGGCCTCATGCTTCTGTGCCTCATGCTTCGCCTCGCGAAGGAGCTCTATGATCTGTTGAGTCTGCCCTGTCTTCCCCTCCAGTCGTGCCACTTCTGCTTTGGCTTCAGCAAGTTCGATATTACCTGACTGCACTTCTGATAACAATCTTGACACTTGGGTGGAGATGTCATGTTGCAAGTCATGCTTGAGACTTGCTATTGCTGACTGGACCTTTTCCGACAGCGACTCCTCAAGCTGGGTCAGCGATGACGAAACTGAAGTACAATCCTCCCTCAGTGGAACAAGATCTGATTTCACCAGCAGGTTGTTGTCGACCACCGACCCTATTCGATACAAACGTTCCATAATACGGTCGGTCGCGGAATCCTCTTCTACTCTCTCACTCTGGAGCTCGCTGAGCTGTTTCGAGATATCCTGCAGGGTTTGATTGGTGACCAGTTGTTGGCATTGAAGACTGACTCTCTGTTTACATTTCTCCTGGTCCAAATAGAGTATGTGAGCCTCCAACTTCCGACATCTCTGCTTCTCGCTCATCAGATGGTCGTCTTGGGCCGTGGCGAACGCAGTCAGCTGCTTGATCGTTGCGATGCTGTTCTCTGCCATTGCTTGTGCTGCACCGACACCGTTCCGAAGGCTCTCCATTTGCACTGAGGCTGAGTCTGAAGAGCATCGAACTTCATACAATTGAGTCAACAGGTAATCTCGGTCTTTAGTCAGCCCGGCCAGAGTTCGTTGGAATTCTGAGGCATTTTGTTGTAGCGTCTCACAGTCTTTGTTTGTCTCCAGAGCCCATCTCTTCAGCTTACAGTACTTTTCTTTGAACGCGATCAAGCTCTGGGAGAGAAGTTCCGAATACTCGGCACATTCGTCTCGTTCGTTGACAGTCCGTCGAAGCTTGGTTTCAGTCTGCTCATTTAGCTCTCTAAGATCTTGATTTTCGTGCTTAAGATGCTCCACTAGCCTCTCAAAAGTATTTTGCTTTTCGCGTGCTCGATACATGAGAAAGAAGTGCATATCTTCGTCTGATGGCTGTGTGAGGGCCGTTTCATCGTCACGGGGTCGACGTTCTCGACGATTTGAGGCTGTTCTCGAACGGCATGTCCTCGGAGACTTTGAAACTCTGGTTTCGTCGGTTGAGCTTACATCTGAGCCGGTGGCGCTGTGTCCCACAGGCCTTGCTCCTATTATTCTGTGGACCTTGGGTGTCGGTGTTGATTCTGGACTGGGGACAACCCGGTGATCGACGCCAATGGGACGCTCCAGATACTGGGTGTCTAAGCGGTTTTGTTGAAGAGGTGCAAAGTCGAACTGAACCTCATCGCTGGATACAGCCTCGGGTCCCTGTCTCCCTTGTGAAGGAAGGGGAAGCTGGTAGGTATAAGTGGTTTGAGGGATCGGCTCATCCTTGCGAGGTGCTTCGGGCGTCATTTCGGAGGGTATTGCTCGGTCTTCTGCACATATTTCAGTGTTAGTGTTGGTGATACACGGAGCTTGATGCAGCAAACCGTAGGCTTCAATGCAATGGGCATCGTGTCCACGATGATCCTCCCTGAATTTCTGATCGCCAACGTGAAGCTGAGGGCACTGTGGCGTCTCGGCTTCTCCAGCCATTGTGTGAGGATTGGATTAGAGGTGCAGTTGTCGAGGGGACATGGCTGGGGAGATGACAAGGAAAGGTGAAATGAGATGCTGTGGGTGGCCGCGCAGCTGCTCAAGTCGTTGTGCCAGGCCAAGAGTGAGCATCAGGTCACAGGTCACGGCTGCACTGCACCTCTTATCACGTCCTTGTCCCTCCCTTTGATCACAGCATCAATGGACATATGTTCCTCGGTGGTTATCCAGGGACAGCTAGGTTCCGTGCTGGCAGAAATAGCCTGCCGCTCGTGTCAAAATCGGAGGAGCGAGAGCATGCGCATGTGAGATGGACCTATCACAAGCAGAGTAGAAATGTCAAGACAAAATGGCTAGAGGAAGAATCCCTGAGCTGGCTGTATCTCCTGTTCGTTGTCATGGTTCCTGTCCAATATATGGCATGTGTGACATATCAACATGTTCTCCCAACAAGGCATGCTCTCAATATCAATAGGTATTGGTACTCCACCTGAAGTTGTTCGTAATCACGTCTTGCTCCCGTCCACGGGTCTTGTTCCAGGGCGTTCCTGACGCCTCACGCCCAAAGTCTACCGTCCAAACACCCTCTTCCACATGGGTGTCTTGGGGCTGTCCATCTCAAAAGCCGAAGACGGAATGGTTACACTGGGAGGTCTCGGGCGTTTTCTGTCCTTCTTTTTGCTTTTGGCCTTCACCGAGCCGTTGTCCCCTGTGGGTTCGACCCTGACGGCACCATCTGGCAGTCCCTTTTCAAGGTCACGACCACTACCCGTTGACGAGGACCGGCTTCCACCTGTTGCGTCCTTGCCATTGGTCATATTCGGTTTCGATTGGAGCAATTGGTTGTTCGCATTCTTCAATGTATCCTCCATTCGCCGTCTCTTCTCGACCGGAGAGAAGGTCATTTTCTTGGGCGTAATTGGCGTGGCTACGGCCTTGACAGCGCTTGTGACCTTCCTCGCTGACCGTCGGATGCTCTCCTTGATCTTCCACTGTCTCTTCTTTGCCAGGAAAAACAGAACGGTCATTGTGACTGGAAGGAATCAAAGTCAATTGCGCGTCAGGACGCTCGAGTCGAACAACACACTCAAGGGGCAGACTCACCACCAAGGACGACCACGATGCTCACAACCACAGCGATTGCGATGGTCGCCCCACGACTCAAATTCACAGACCCAGTGTCTGGTCCTGCAGCCCCAGCGTCTTCTGTGGAAGTACCAGGGCCGGAGCCAATATCACCCGGTTCCACGCCCTGAGCACCCCCACCATCACCCGACTGCGCCAGGACCCGTGAGTTTTCGAGGAGATCGAGGCATATAAGAAGCGCATGGACGTGCAGCAGCGGTCGCGGGAGAAATGACGAAGTCATGGCTGTAGCCTGTGAGTGATGTCGCCCAGCACTATCTGGTTTGCCGATGGGAGAGGCAGAAGCAAGCTGGTTCGCAGGGCGTGTGAGTTGTAACAATATGGAGGGGAGGCCTGCACAGCAGAAGAGTCGAGAAAGCGAAAAGACATCGGGGCCCGGTGTCGTCTTGCGATATTGACTCAGCTTATGTTGAACCAGATGGGCGTCTGCATGGCTCTGGCCCTTTGGACGGCGTCATCTCGAACGCAGTCTGGGACACCTGCACTGCCTCTGGCCAAGGGTCTCGGAGGACAGGCCTTGGGTCGAAAAGACAAAGACATCAAGTGTGATGAGTGCGATTGGAGATGGATTGCGGGTGATGAAACTTGAAAAGAAACATCCAAAGCCAATCAGTCTGGGCTGGTTCGGGGATCCTACAACCACCAAGACAACTTAAGCGCCCACTTGAAACTATCACAAGCCTTGGCATTGGCAGCCTCGTCGTCGTTCATGATACTATACCACTAGATGATCATATCACCAATGTACATCACTTCAATGCCCAAGTCCCCCCCCGCCCCCTCCCCAAAACTACATTCGGACTTGGGTCGATCATCGCCTATATAACGCCATCAGAGCCAACCTAGAGGCCCACTCCGAAACCCTTGCCGGGCCTTAGTCGTAGTCGCATGATAACCATTACTCCCTCCATTCACAGCACTGAGTGGTCGATAGTTGTGCAGATGACGCATCAAGTCTCCCAGTCTCCTTCAATGGTGTCTACAGTGTTTCCCATCCGCCGGCATTGACCTCACTCTCCAGCTTCCTAGCAATTGTGCTCCACACACTGCCATTGATCATCAACCACGTATCTCTCAGCAACTTGTCGTACCGCTTCTGGTTGAGAATTAACTGGTGTTTCGATCTCAACCCCGAATCCGTCTCCCCATGTTTAGTCAGGTATGGTGCTGGGAAGAACGATCCGTGGCTCATGGTAGAGCTTGGTGGTAGCCCTTGGACTCGCCGGAGGAGAGCATCTTGAATGCCAGCTTTGGGGTCCTTTGTGACATGCAGTAGTGCTACATGACATTTGCGTATAAACAAGAACATGCCGATCGGGCTCGAACACTTTTGGACATGCGCATTGCAGCCGCCACGCTTATCTTTTGTTTGGCAGCAGACAGTCTGCGAACAGAAGATCTCGCCGCAAAACAGGCAGAGCGCAGGGTCCAACACCTCTTTGCCCGTGGTAGGACACCGGCGTTTGTGCGACTCTTCCATCAAAACATCAAAGTATTTCGGAAGCCCAATCAACTCAAACGGTGCCGGGTGCAACAACTTGACACCCAGCGGGCGCATAGGTACCCCGACAAGCTGAAGCATCATCTTGCTCTTCACTTCGAACTGTATACATTGCTGAAGCCAGATGCCTGCCCGATTTTTCAAAGCGTCCGACGTCGAGTACTCGCCAAAGGACCGGAGAATGTCATCAATATTTGGCAAGTGTAAGAGATGGCACAGACGCTCGAGCTCGGACAACCCTGCTTCAGAGCCAGCTGTGGTGGGAAAATCGACACCATGCGCGACGTGAAAGAAGATGGCGGATTTACGTAGAAAAGCGAGTGCATACACCTTGCATAGCTTGAATAACATCCCTGCTGTACTGGGTGACATTTGCTGCAAGTTATTGGGAATGTCGTAACCGCTGTTGGTTTGTCGGATCTGTTGTATGGCCCATAGCACAATGCTTTCCACGCTCCGTAGCTGCTCTGTTTCCGTGGTGGGAATAGTGGCATGGCGGATCTGGTTTTGAGTGAGCATTTCACCCACCTTCAGGAGGGCGGTTGAGTTGAGTAAGAAAGCCACAACCACTCGGAGGAGCTCAATAGTCAGAGCCATTTGTAAAACATGTCGCAACTGTAGGTTTCGAATGGGACCAAGCACCATTGTTGCCTGGACCAGAAACTGGAAAGGCTCTGTACAAAGGAGAGGCAATTCGTTCTCGGACTCGGGTGATGGCGTCGGATTTCCCGATGTTCCAACAAGCTGACGCTCGAGACGGTCGCAAAGTTCTCGATACTGCGTCTCGACAGAACCACGGACCGTCAAGGCACCTGTCGCGGCGTAGGCTTTCAAGGTCGATGACAGTGTTTGTAGGTGGCTGAGCGTCTGTTGCGGTATGCTTGTCAACAGCGAAGTGCCAAATTCGGCCTCGCGGCCCCGGTGACCGATCTCGACGGAAGCTATGGTATTGGCCAATGTGTCGACCAGGAGCTGAAAGTGGTTCAGGGACGAGTCTTCCCGAGGAGCCACGACTCGGCTGGTCGCCGCTACAATCGCGAGAGTTTCTCGAAGGCGACCGTAGATGCTTGAGAGCTCAGCGAAAGCGGTAAGCTCGGGTCGCTCGGCCCATGCTTGACTTGTGGGACTTATTGTGAGATCACCTGATTGCCAGCGAGCTATGGCCGGGGCCAGTGAGCTGTTGGAGAATGTTGCCAACGTCTGCAAGTAGGTCTGTGAAGCATGCGCATTGAAGGAGGGATCTTGAGCGGCAGTCGGCGAATCGACTGATGGCAGATTCTTGTCCAAGAAAGAGTCGAACTCTTGCGACACCTCGAGCGTTCCGGGGTAGGACTGCTGTGAATGTTTCCACACGATCGGCAGGAAGGTATTCGCAAGCGCCTTGCACAGCGGGCAGACGAACTCCTTCAAAGATATCCGTTCAGGGTGATTCCTGGCAACCTGTTGCGAATGCCTCCGTGTAATTGACTGATAGTAGTTTTCGAAACACGTAAAATGCATAATGTGCCCACAGCTGGTCGAGACGGGTCCCTTCATAGTATACCCTTGTGGCCAGCCTTTACCTAACCCTTGAAAATCAACGGTGACCTCCTGGCCATCCGCTGTCAGACGCTTCACTTGTTCATGATTGGATCCCGAGACACCAAATGGCCGGATATTCTCGAGAGAGCGATCCAGGTTGTCCGGGATCGCAAAGAGCTCACCAACAAAGTCGACATCATCCGTATTTGTTTCCCGTAAGATGTGGGCGTCGGTGACCATAGCAAACGTGCCATAGAATCTCGAATCAGACGTATCTTCACGACATTGTATACATAGACCCGCAGGATATTTCCAGTGCCGCATTTCAGTTGATTTGGGTAGCTCTTCATCTGGGGACTCCAAGTCTTCATCTCCCCAGTCGGTCATGCCTTGTTTGTCCATAAAACTTTGTTGTTGCTGCTGAAATTGGGCCATGACTCTTGCTTTTCGTTCCATTGCCTGTTTCTTCTTGGCCTCGATCTCGTTTTCGACGTTGGCAGGAGAAGCTGTGTCAAATCTGCCAGAAGGAAAATCCAAGTTTCGTGTCGCCGTAGTGAACTGGTCGGGCAAGCTCTGATGGAACAGCCGCAGCATATGTCTGATCTTGCTTCGGCAAGAGCTGAATTCTTCCATGAGCCATATTTTGGATAGCACCGCAACGATGGTGGATGGTGGACTGTTGAAGGATTCGAATTCTAGCTTCATGGCATGGCGAATGAAGGAGGGGCTTTCAACCGCATCATGAGTCGAATCGTCTTCCAACGTAGCAATCAGCGCGAGTTGGAGAACAATTTGAAAAAAGGCTTCAACGCGAGTTGCCGAAACACCAGCCTTGGACTTATGACCGTGGGCGACGTAGACCAGCGCTTTGTGGATGACATCTGCGAAAAGAGTGGTGTTGACAACGGCACAGAGATTGGCGTACGCCTCGCAGGGGATAGGATGCAGCTTGGGATCCAGCACTATGTCTTCCGGTGGCTTGTGCAACTTTTTGCCCATCCAGTTTTTGTAGATGTTCTCGGCCTCATCTCTCTGGTTTTTGGTGAAATGGGAGTTGTATGGATCCAGCTCTTGCAAGTACTCCTCTTTCAACTCAAACAAGCCAGAGTCATGGAGGCCTTCTGGGGGCCTATATTTGGTCATCTGCTCAAGGACTTCTTGTAACTGTTCGTGGTCTTGTGCTCTTTCCGTTAGGCGAGCATAGAGGTCCGAGTATGACAGCGGTTTGAAACAGAGCGTATGAGCAATGTCTTTTCGAAGCGTAAGGAGTTGAGATTCTGGGTCGTCTCGGTCGGAAATGAGAGCATCCCTGTCGGAGAGTAGATTGATCAAAAGGTAGACAAAATCTTCCGCCAGGTCCAGCATCTGGTTGTCGTCGCAGATCTCGAGGGACTCAAATCCATTCCGCATCCAAGCAGAGAGGCCGAACCGGTCGATCATCGACGCCAGCACTCGGCCGGGGTCACAGACTACCAGTGCCGTTTGCAGGAGAAACAAGTCTCGATGGTGGCCAACATCACGATGGGCGACGCTTTTGTACTGGACCATCTGATGGCGCAGACTCATCCCATTGCGGACCCACAGATTGGCCTTCATCTGCGCCAGCCAGGCACACACACGAAGGGGAAAGTCGAACATTGCAAGGAGGGCATCGTCGGCCGAGTTGAGAGCAGTCTTGATTGGGGCGTCTCGGGGTCCTAGATGGATATCGTATAGGTGGGACAAGAACGTCTGCGCAGTATCCCGGAGAGTATTTATGGACTGTTTAAATTCCTTCCCACATTCTAATAACCAGGAGAGCGTATAGTGCAGTGGGTGATGGAAACTTAAGGCGCCCTTCTCCACTACGAAGTTGACGACCTTGTAGCCGTAAGGGGCCACGGTGTGAAAGCGAACAGGTTCTTTGATCTCTGCCTGCTCAAATCGACGCCGTTCAAGCCCGACAGAATTTATGATTGCGACACCTGCAGCATGCGAGATTGCGTCCCAGGTCGAGCGTAGAGCCAAAGGACTGCTGTCTTTGGAGACATAGTATGCTTCGGCAAACTGTCGACAGAGCTTGTTGATATCTCGTGTCAATAAAGAGGCACTGATCCAAGCATCCGTTTCGTATTCAACATGTTCTCCCACAGCTCGCACATTTGGACAGATGCCCTGGGACAGCTTCGCTAGGTCGAGGAATTGGAAGAGATACTGTGGCTCGCTCCGGGCCTTTGCCTGTACAAATGGGGAGGCGAGGAAGTATCTCAAATCAGAGAAGAAATGATAGAGTCGACGGTTGGCAACGGATCCAGCGTCGAAGCCTAGGGTGGCCCCTGGGTCGAGATCCTTAGGGAATCCCACTTGCCGGGTAGTCAGGAAGGTATAAAGAATAGCCATCAGGTTCGTGAGGAAATTCCCCCGCTCAATCACCTCTTCCGTGATCGAGGGCGTTGTCAATAACTGCAAAGACAGGTTTATGATGGAATGGTCTGGTTCTCGATCTGCCACGAGATAGAGCTGTGCGAGGGTTGTGTACAGACCAGAGAACCTTAGTCCAAGGACACGTTTGAACTGGGGAATATTGACTAGTGTGCTGATGAAGAGATCCCGCATATTTGTTCTTGCAAGCTTCCACAGGCGCAGATCGAAGAGAATCATCGAGTCCACCCGGATGTTCTTCGTCAGATCTTCGTAGACAGGAATGGTTGCGTTCTGGGGAGGTTGACCCGACGGAGCTAACTTCCAGTGGTTGGGCGGCGTGGATCGGTGTCGTGTCCTGCGCGACGAGGTTGCAGGCGTCCTCGGTATGTTGAGATAATTGGCATTGCCATCTGGATCAGTGGGAGAAGCGTCCTCGCCCATTGCCACATTGTTTCCGGGGTCTCCAACATCTTGAGTAGGAAGGGCTGGCGGCGGAGGTGACGGTCTATCCATATCCATGCGTTCTGCAATATCCAAGAAATCTCCGTCACCGTCCGTGTCCATCTCCTCGGCGTCGTCTGTAACATCTGCGTCGCCTGCTTGTTCGGCCAGGAGATCCAAGCGATGCGACGCGTCGAAGACGGTGGCCGTGAGGATCAGATCGTTCATTTCCCGATCATCCACGTCGACTAGTTCGTTGTCGTCTTCATCCTCATCCTCATCGTCATCATCCACTTCCCCGGTCTCGTTGCCGTCACTGGCTTCATCCTCATCCAGAATTTCCCCCGCCATTGCGCGTTGCATTGCGAGTTGGATGGGATCGAAAAGGCGGAGTCTTGTCCTCCTTCTGTAATCGCGGTCATCCTCGTCGCCATGATCATCGAGATCCTCTCTCCCCACTTTGGCGTTCCATGCTTCACTTCCGATCCTCCATATCTGGAGCATCTCCTCGCAAATGACCCTCCTTAGGATATGGCTATCCCCTGCGATGCTGGAACCCGCGATATCGGCAAGCCAGTCGATGATTGTACCACACATCTGTTCCCGAAAGGTGTCTCTGGATGACCTGATGGTGACGGTAACTTTGATTTCCTCGATAATCTTGGCCATCCTGGTGAGCTCTTTGAGATCGCGAGAGTGCCTGATCAGACTTCTGCCAATGTCGTTGGCCTCTTCGGCTTTGGCCAGACCGAACGCCTCTCGTTGACGACACGCTCGGGCCACTTGCGACTGTACCTCACGTACCGTGTGCTTCTCGTCATTCCAGATGATCAAGCAGTAATCAGGATTGGTTTCAACTTCATCTCCTGACACGTAGTGCTCTGCAGAGAGCCGACTTTTCACCTCGTCTTGAGTCACCGACTCCACCGTCTTGGGTAAGCGCAGGTTCTCGGGAGAACAAGATATGATATCACAAAAGTAGTCCAAAACTGTGCCAATGGTACTGCGGATAGACTCTTGCAAATCTCCTGGCAATGGAGAGACGTGCTCATCGGTTGTTGCCCAATCGTCACTTGCGGTATGAATGGCACATTTCACCGATCTCTTCCACGCCTCATCATCGCCGCAATCGCAACATCCGCTATTTCCAGCACTGACATTGACGGTATACTGGTGGCCTTCATGGTCGCTTGCAACGAAACAACGGGAACAAAGGACGGCGGTCGTGTCATCGGTGCAGGTGCTACAGTGATAGCTGGCCTCTCCTGGTTTGAAAATGTGCCCGCACGGATGGCCTCTGGCTGCTGCACTATACTCGGCGTTCTCTTGTACTCCTTGTGCGTCTTGCAGCTTGTATGAGGGAGGGAAGCCCTCTGGGAAGAGGTCGTGCAAGTAATCGGCTCGGTCATTGGTCAGGGCGCGAAAAAGGATTTCTAGGAGGCTGTTGCTTGCACTGGCGCTGTAGCGATAGTCATGCTGCCGGGGGTGGTCGCAGAGGGCCTGGCGGAGTTGACGGTCCAGGCTCGAGGTCGACGTGGTCATGACGAGGGTTTCGTGTTGGCCGTGGCCGACATTTGGACATGCAGAGGCCAGACGTGAGGGCAGAGAACGGGTACCGTCGGAGGGTTAGGGACTCTGAGGAATCGCAGCCACCTGATGACCAGGGCGGGAGGGTTATGCGACTGTTACGAGTTGAATGGATCGATCTGTACTTGGCGAGTTCGGTACTCTAGGGACTCACCCAGCGTGATCCGGGGTCGGAGAATATGGGATCACGAGAAAATCGAATGACGCAAGGAAAAGAAGGAGACAATTTGGCGCAGGGGAAGGAAGCGTGACGAACGCTACGATGCGGTTTACTATTATGAGACTAACGTGCCAACGTGCTAACTCGGTACAGGGCCAGAAGGGCCAAGACCCGTCCGGGCGGAAAAACTGCTCCGGGCTCACCCTCCTTTGGGGACGAGAGTGACGCCGCCCTACCATACCCGAAGCCCACCCGTATCCGTATGCCCCCACCTCACCCTCGAGGCTGCGAGAGGACGAAACACCGACACTGACATATCGTGCATACCTACAGGGACTAGAGAGGGATGCGAGACTGTCTCAGAACAAGGTGGAGAGCAGGTTAGGCTAATACCGCTTGACATGCAAAGGCAGCGCCGGTATTTATACGCTTCCAGACTAGCTTAGTCTGCCCCGCTCAGGCTATACCTCCGAGAACTCGGATATTGCACTATCACTTCTCGGTATCTACATAGGTATCAAAGGAGATATATTCATGAGAATTCCCGCTTCCACTTTCACTAGCTGCTACAAAGGGATCACTTTGTATATGATCGACCCTTGTGCTAACTCGTCCACCTGCCTGGTAACCATGGTCAGCTTTGAGCCACTACTTCCCTCTTTCTACCGAGTACTTGCTGACAACCTGAGGCGACTTGATCTAGTGACGCTCAAGAGGCATTTCAGGAGGCCTTGTCGCACGATGAAGTGACCTTGGCAGGCGCGATCTTGGAGACCAGGCGTGCCACGGGCGTGGTGGGGTTCAGGAAACTATTTTGTGTGTCAACTACCCGACATGGCCTAATGGAATGCTAGCCCGACACAAGGTACCTCCCTTTCCGTCGAGTCAGACTTTTCAGGGCGGCGCGATCTCATCTTCCTCACTGGCCGCGATATTGACCAGCGCCCCAATCCCCATCATCTTTGGAACTCCCTCGCCGTTACGGCCAATGTTATTGTGTCCTGCAAGGCTGAGCATTCCAGACATGCCCAGCTACATCCTGTATATATTTGCTAGGTGTTCTTGGATGATATGGCGAGACTACTGTGCTTAGGTTAGGTCAGGTCGTTATGCGTCTTGTCCTAGCTCCATGACGAGCACGGTTCATTGGGGGCCCAGGTGTGCCCTCGAGCTTGATCATCGCCACTATAGTGGCCCTCGTCGCCATACCAGTGGCACTCATGACCGGCGTCGTTGCCGTCATCACCATAATACTGGTCCTCGTCGCCGTCGCAGTGGCCTTCATGGTTGGCGTACTCGCCATCAAAATCACCATACTGACCATCGTCGCCACTATACTGACCCTGCTCGTCGTCATCACCTCCCATAGCCTCCTCGTCCCCGTGATGTTCTTGGACCTTCTCAAAGTCACATTCCTCATGTGCATGGTCGCCGTCGTTCAAGCTGTTGAAATCAGCATGAGTGTCGATCTCTCCATTGTCATTGTGGTGGTGGTGGTGGTGATCATCATGCTGGGCGTCTATCGGCTCATCCTCAGCATTCAGAAGGTGTGAGTGGTCCTCGTCCGGGAGATATTCGCTCTTCCACGGATGGTGATAGAGCTCTTCAAGGTCCGAATCTTCGTCTACCAATCCCAGCGTCCTATAGTGATGTGGTTGAAACTGTCCGTTGAGCGACAACGAAAAGATCGCAAGAAACTTCTGCGCCTCCCCATGGCTGGGATCATGTGTGAGAATCTCCTGCGCGGTGTAGGCGATTGTTTTGCTGTGGTGATGCAGAGCCTTGTGTCGTTCGGCTTCGTCCTTCTCCTCTCCTGTACATGTTAAAATGACCACATCAAGCCGCTCCAGGAATTCACCACGTGCACTGACCTGGGTCATCATGAGCCTTGATGTATTCATCTATGGCATCTTCGAGCTGCTCTTCCAGTTCATCGATCGTTTGATATGACTCTTCGTAGTCTGCCATGTTGTAACAACTTTGCAGGGTACCGGGCGGCTCGTGAAAGCGTCGTATGTGTGTGGACGGCTCTAAGGTACAAATCAATCGCTGATTCTTGAGCCGAAAGTAACACCCAAGGAAACTGTCCAAAGCGCATGAGAATAGTCTAGATTAAATCCTCTTCGCGCCCTGGGCACTCACGTCCTGCGTCTACTCTTCCCCCTGTGTGGTTATACCTGTTTCGGAACAGTACGATCCTGTCATCATATAAGCAGCAATAGCTAGATATAGCAGTCTTAAGTGGACCGGGATTTGACCAGGAATTTCTAGGGCTCACCCAGGATGCTAGCTGAGACGGGAAGAGAGCCTATTGATTGGTACGCCTCGACCCTACAGGTGTAAATGGGGGCCGCAATTCTTTAGATGTGGAGTTATATAGCACAGTTTCGGTATATGCGCCGCGGGGTGTCCATTGATGCTTATCTACCATAAATGGGTACAATAACAGTGCGAGTAGCTAGAGCGATGCGCTATAGAATGGCATAAATGTACCAGTATTGAACCTAAGCAAGGCAATGTCTTTCTTCACACTGTACTTGTCAGAGGCACTCGGGGTCTCTTAAACCACTTATTCTTGCAGCCTTGTCTACAGACTCTATAGCACCATGAGTGGTAAGGGAATTTGTGTGAGCTACGCTGAGCATTCGTGTGCTAACAAGCTATAAAAGACCAAGGAGCTGGTGGCCACCAGCAAAATCTCCCCTATCGCCCTCCTCCTCCTGCGACATCTCAGCCCGCCCAGATTCCCCTGAGCAGGTATTCTTCTTTAGCTAACTGGGCTGGAGGCGCTCCGAATCCTCACCACCAGCCGCCGCCTCCTCCTGCGATACCTCAGCCGCCTCCTCCTGCGACACCTCAGCCGCCGCCGTCGCCGTCGCCGCCTCCTCCTGCGATACCTCAGCTCGCCCAGAGCCATGGGGTCCCCCAGAGTAGCGGTTCTTCTTTAGCTAACTGGGCTGGAAGCGCTCCGAATCTTCAGCACCAGCCGCCGCCGCCGCCTCCTCTTCAGGCCACAGAGCCCGCGAGTAGCAGCAATCAAGCACTACCACACGGTGAACCATCTTCTTCGAATCCAAATTCGGCTCCTGCTCCCTCCCGCCGTGGTCCCGTCCGCCGTGGTCCCGTCCGCCGTGGTCCCGTCCGCCCTGGTCCGGCCGACGCTGGTCCTTCCCGCCTTGGTCCGGCGGATGAAGCTGATCCTTCCCGCCTTGATCCCTCCTCAGCTGGCTCTGGTGTCTATCCTAATTTAGCGCACCGAAAGATTAGAGTCGGCATTGCAAGGTGCGTGCCATGCAGAACAAGTAAAAGAAGGTGTTTCCGAGGGCAACCCTGTTTCCAGTGCAAATCACGTGACATTGAGTGTGTTTGGGATAAGGAGGTTGCGCCTACGGGATCGTCTACTCCCATGCCATGTAAGCTTTTCCTTTAGTGACGATGTCAGTATGTACTGACCAGCGGCAGACCCTTGCAAGCGGTGCGACGCAAGAATAATACACTGTAACCGCGGTAAGCCCAGCTGCTTGACTTGCGAGCAGGCAAATGAACAGTGCGTATACGACCGGTCGGTGGTGTCAAAGACGCCGGCTCATCCAAGAAAGGGCAACCGCAGAAGTACGTTTTTTTTCTTAGTTGACCCCCTATGCCTGCATTCTCCAAAGATGCTGGCTACTGACCTTTCAAACAGTACCTTGCGATAACTGTACAATGAACAGTAAAAGAACATGCGACGAACAAGACCCCTGCTATTTCTGTCGGATCTATAATCAACAATGCACATACAACGGCACTATTAGGAATCATAACATAACTTGATCTTGCTCTCAAACGCCAGACATAAGGAGCTTCGCGGAGCTGTTCTCTGTAACACGGCGGGTCAAGGGAGTTGCGGAGGTTGGATGGAGCCTCGAGTCGGAGGGGCAGACATTGGGGGACTGAACATTTTGCAGTAACGCGAACGCGAGGCGAGGTAAGTATTAGGTTGAACGAACACTCTTGATGGGGAAGGGATGCCGGAAGAATGGACCTTGTCATTAATGGGTAGAGGTGCGAGGGCCTCACACCTCTGCCCAGATGTGGCCGGGACGAATCAGACCAATGAAGGGGAATCAGCCGACGACGGAGCGGGTCCATTCATTGGTTCTCATTGGTAAACCCCGGCTCTATGTCGGAGCTAACCCGTTTTAGAACTGTACAGGTGTGCGAGCACGCGAGGTATTATATGTACCCTCATACCAAGAAGTCGAACCGTCCTCCCTCGCGACTCGAGACGTGATTATGGCCCTGACCCTGTCCCTGTCCCCAGATGCCCCGACAGGCCTCGTAGCAGATCGATTACCCCGTCACCTCCACTCATCTGACGTCGCAGTTGTCAGATCTCGCTGTTTCTACTTCCTACCATGGCAGAAAGCGCTGTTCTGAACGAGCATGCAGCAATGACAAAACACCATGTTATGTTTCCAGACAAACCCCGAACATACTACGCCACGGAGCTTTTTCGTCGACATTGGAGTGTTGCCACATGGGCCAGATCGTGATCCCGTCTTTTTGCAGCGGACAGGCCGGGTTGAAAGACGCCACAGCCGAGTGTAGCGCTCACTAATGATCTGGTAATAACTCGCCGATAGATTCCCCCCCCCCCGGGGGGGGGGGTTTGCCAACTCCGAGAATCTCGTGTGCATGGCGACCGCAAGGAGACATCTAGACGGGGGATGGAACTCGCGGTCGCAGTCTTGCGTGGGCCAAGGTCTAGTGAATAACTCTGCTCCGAGTCTCCATGACGAGAAATGAACATTGTAATAGCTTGCCTGTCGGTGGATCATGGCTCCATGACTGACTGGGAAGCGCGTTCGGCCTTTGACCCGATAGTGCCCAGTAAATATCAAATAACAACTAATAGATGCATCAAGTTCCAATCGTCGATACGTTGGATGAGGCAAGAAAGCCCCCCTCATGTCAGGAAGACGATGGGAAGGAATTAGATCGGGCTCGGTCTCGCATGTCGTGGATGCGCATAGCCTTCTAACACCCAAACTCGCAACGCAGTCATTCACTGGTTATCGAGCTTTTGAGTTCCCACTCGTCGGTACCCGGGAGCGGGAATGTCAAGATCATGGTCCTGGTCCTCAGATAGTCTATGCAGATGAAAAGGATGAAAGCGTTCCCTCGTCGGACTGCCTCACTCTGGTCGGTAGCCTGACGATCTAGGAGTCGTTTTAGATCACACGATAAACCCAGTAGCGAAGTAGTGAGAGTTCTTGGATGGGCAGGTATTGAGAACACGACATGTTGAGCTCGGGACTCGTTATACATATCTTGATGTTTAGGGTGTTATCCAGTCACGAAATGGGATAGAGGAACTACACCTTCTGGAAATCAACAACTCAAATTTGTCCACTTTGTCCAAACCTACCACATGCCGTAGTCAAGAAAGCAAGGCCTAAAGGCCCTTCAAGTCCCCATCCGGAGTGTGCCGCCTTCCAAGGACAGCTATGCCGCCACCAAACGTTCATGATGCGACACCGAAATTGTCGATACTCTTTCGATGGCAAGCTCACGGGTTGTCACACAGATGTTGCTGAAGTCTGTCTGAGGCGAAGCCACGGCCCCTCTGCATCACATCAGTAAACATAGATAATGGTAGGGTAGAGAAGCTGGAAAATGGCGGAAAATGGCCTCAATTTCAGGGTTGTTCTCATCCTTCGTTTTTATGTACATAGTTTTTCCGAGTTTTGTTTCCACGCCCCCTTGGGAAACACGGATGTTGAGTTCGACTCCATACTTCAAGTACCCTGAGCGTCCAAACTACTCCTCGTCCTCTTCTTCAGCTTGTTGTATGTATCGGTGTTTGATGTCTTTCCATTGCCGCTGTGTCCAGTCAGAATCTGCGATTCGAGGAGGTCAAGGGTATCGAGAACGTACACCTTTGTTCCAATTGTCCCATATAGAGTTTGTTACACCCTCAAATGCCCTGCGAAGTTCATCAGCTTCGACATATCAATATTCGCGTGAGAGGCGCTCTCACAGCTCGAACGTGAAGGCGCCAAGGAAGATGGTCGTCAGCCAGGTGGCGTTTTTCCGCATCAGGCCACTGTGAAGGAGTGAGCAGGAGCAGAGATGAGGTTGTAGGATAGGAGATCGTACTTGAAGATGCCGCTAGAAATTTGAGACTGCGAGCGTCAGCCAGAGTTTAAACAGTGCCGGAAATTCCAAGAAGCGGCAACTCACCACAGCAGGCATCTTGCACGAGTAGCTGTTTTCTTAAAGCTTGGAATTGTCAACGAGGGTAACGCGAGGCCAGTTCTTCAGCAACTCGGAGTCGATTGTGAACAGGTCCTTCATGAGAGCTTGCGACAAAGAGCTCAAAGGCCAAGGCAGGTGACCCGAATGGCAAGTAAGCCGATGAATGTCTTGGCATACTTGGCATGGTTGACTACCAGAGGAATACTGCGTATTACTAAACTACCCACCACCACCCAGGGGGTGACAGAATTCTGTCCCCACTATTAGGGTATTCTGCCGGGAATTCCTGCCTCATTGGGGACGGAATTCTGTCATCCCCCACCCAGGGGGTGACAGAATTCCGTCCCCACCCATTTTTAGCGCAGCGAACTTTATGCAACGCCAACAAACCTACCTTTTTACCACCCACCAATGCCACCACAAACGCGCTCAACTTATCGCCATAGCACTCCTGATCGTGGATTAAACACAGGAGATTACGATACTGTCAAAAAAACGCGATTTTTCGAGGCTTGGGATGCAAGGCAACCAGGACAAAGCCTGCGGAGTATTACGCAGGCACACAGGATCGATAAAAAGACCGGTAGTAATTGGCTACAACAACGCCTCGAGATTGGTAGTCCTGCCTATCGAAGGACTCGTCCGCAGTCACAGATTCTAGGCAGGCCATCGAAGATAGAAAAAAGGCAGATCCAAACGCTCCTCTCGCCGTCAAAGAACCCCTACCGAAACGATCCCTACGAGGCACAAATCGCCTACTTTGACCTCCGCGTTTCAGCCCGCCAACTAAGAAGACGACTTACTCAGTTAACTAAGAACGCTCAGCTTTATAAGGCAGTCTACTACAAGGACGAACTCAGTAAAGAAACTGAGAAAACACGCGTCGAATACGGTAAAAGACACGCAGGAAAGACCGTTGAAAACTTCTGGCAATGGGTCTATTTCACAGACGAATTCCACTTTGATCCTACCTCGCAACGAGCGCCTCGAGTCCTTCGCGAGACAGGAGCACGCTATAATCAAGAGAATATCGTTCCGCGAGCGCCTAAGAAAGGAATAGTCCTTCACGCCGCAGGCTGGGTCAATTGGCACGCGAAATGTCCAGAGTTACTCTTCTGGCATGACAGAACGCGGAAGGCCTAGAAGGCGAGGTAGAACAAGAGGTAAAGGAGGCAGTAAAAGAGACAATTCTACCACGGCCGCAGAGACCTCGTCGTCGGCCAACAACTGAGTCGGAACAGGAGTTTCAAGAACGCCTTCGCCATTATGAACAGGAGGTTGAAGAGTGGGAAACTAAGTACAATCTACAGCCAATTCTACAGCCAAAGGGTAACTCAATTACCCAGCGTTACTATTCCGAACATCTCCTGCAAGTCTATATCGATGCGATTAGGCATATGCGCACTATTCACAATCACGATTTCCTCCTCGTCGAGGACGGCGATCCCTCTCACGGAATGAAGAAAAGAGGCCTCGCACAGCGTAAACGAGAGGCATTCGCTATAGAAAACCTTATTCACCCTGCCTCTTCGCCTGATTTAAACCCATCTGAGGCCGCCTGGAATATCTGGAAGCAGAGAATGAGGTCTGTTCCTGGCGTAACTAGAATGTCTATAGAACAACTAAAGCAGAAAGGTAACGAGGTCTGGCGTGAAATCTCGCTCGAGGAGATACGAGACAGGATTTGCGATATGCCAGAGAGATGCGAACTACTAGTAAAAACAGGTGGTAAACGCATAAAGGGTAGAAAATGGTGATTCCTTCAGATACAATGGCGAGGGTAGTTACATTGGCTAGGTGGTGCTAAAAATGGGTGGGGACGGAATTCTGTCACCCCCCTGGGTCACCACATGGGTGCCACGTACCTATCTCATTGTGCACATACACAAGTAGAGTATTATTATATAGATTGCTGTCAACTTGTGCCCTGCAAGTGCATGTGCCTTTGAAATCGCTTGTCACTTGATACAATCTCTAATTTGTCGCCTTTTCAGGTACTCATCGTCACACAAAAACCATACGTGCTGGGTTGACTGATCGATGATGTTGAAAGCTTTGGATGATGTCCTCGATATCGGCACCTTCTCTTTTGAAAAATATCACTGTTTGAGAAATGAAAACTTATGGAAGCTGGAATGGAAGACAAGGTAACAGTGTGGTGCATTTACAGAGCCTGGCTTCATTCGACGCCAAACATACATCTCGCATTCGGTGACAGAGGATTGGGTTGTCGCGATCGTCTTCGCAAGATCCTTTAATACCGCCTGGATCCCTATTCTGCATACCTACCTCGCACTGTTGTGTGCCCCGACCGCTGCCTTGGATAGGGAGGTAGGTATAGATATATATATATATAAAAGGCGTTAGTGAATGTCTGCCGCTCTCATATAAGCATGTGGCGTACCTCGGTGTCGAGGATGTGTTGATGCGGACAAAAAGAACTGCCTGGATATGGCGGAAATAATATGTATGTACATACGCACCGGGTGCGAGGGGTTCGCTTGGAGATCCACCGGACGCAGCCGTCGATTCACTTTCATGTTCCCCTCTGCTGCCGCGAGGTCCACAAAAGCCACCGAAATTATCCGCAGCGCATTTCTTTCGCTGTCCGAACGGTCTAGTTCAGGAAGCCTTCGGCTGCTTGTACGTGGAACCTTTGGAGAGGTCAGCAATCTCGCCATGTTGACGCCCACCTGATCGCGTACAAGCCGCCACACCACGCTTTCCGCGGCTAGCTCTGCCTTCCACGATGTCGAATCCACCTTCTGGCACGCCTCGGGCCAGCAAATCCGGCATAGAGACCTCTGCAGATGGTGCCTCCTACATTCCGTCTTCGACAAGGGCAGATGGTTCGACCAGAAAAGAGATCAGAGTGAGGCCGGGATATAGACCGCCAGAAGACGTCGAGACCTACAAGAATAGGAGTGCCGAAGCATGGAAGAACAGAGGTCAAGCCGGCGTCCCGGGAGCAGAGACGGTGACTGCGACTAAGAGTGAGGTTTCCACAATGGGCAAGAATGCAAAACGCAGGGAGGCGGCGCGGAAGAAAGCAGCCGCGGGAGTGTCAGCAGAGGATGCAGAAGATGGACTTTCTTCAGCTATGCAAAAGACTGAGATCTCAGAGAGAGATAAGCACAAGGAGAACTGGGACGATCCTGCAAAGCTGGCAACTAGTGAGGTATTGGCGGCCGACGCTGAGATGGAACAACAGAAGAAGATTCGCAATCAACTGAAAAAGTTACGCGCAGTCCGCGAACTGAGAGAAAAGCGGGCGGCTGGCGAGAAGCTGTCGCACGACCAGGTCATGAAGATTGGAAAAGAAGGCGAGCTGCTGCGGGATCTCAAGAAATTGGGCTACGACGGTCCGGAATTGCAGGCACTCACAGCTGATTCTGGAAACGAAGTCGCCGTTCCACCAACTTGATCGATTGACTGGATAATATGCCCGCTAATTTATCCTCTGTCGACGGATCTCTGAAGTCCACGCTGATCTCAAGGTGAAGAAATGAGACTAGACCACAACGATCATCGCATCTATCTACGATCTCGTACTCGCCAAACATCTAAAGGCTTTTGCAGTCGCCACAGCCGTCGTATGATGTGGGAAAGAGGTGGAGGGTAACGGAGGGTCATCATGACTCAGGACTGGGAGAAACTTGCGCGCTGTGTACAGCCCCAGGCGTCACGCTGGATGAGTTGTGGCGGCGCCAGCAGCATATCTGGGGACACGATGTTGATGCCGTGATTTCGGGTCGTCGGGAAGCTGCTCCAAAAGAGCACTTGCCATACTACGCCTTGCGAACACTTGTATGTGGGCACTCGGTACATGGTGGGCATTGAGCGCGGAAGTGGGGGTAGTTTTATGGCAACTGAGCCGAGATGGCCCAGCATCATCACGCCAAAAGTTTGGTAGAGTTGATTTCAATTGCACGTCGACGCCCACATCAATTTGCTTGCCTGCCTCCAACTCCCCTCTAGCTCTATCAAGCACCCTTCCGCATGCACCGCTCGGTGTGTATCCACTGGATATGCGCGTGGGTGTCTGTAATGCTCCCTACTCAAATGCCGTAAAATACGCCTTCCAGCGACAAGGGCAGCCACTACTGCGCCTTCGCACGTTTCATTCATCCGCCAGCCATGGCTTGGTCAGGATACCCCAATCCGATGGTCAAGATGTTCTTCCTCCCCCAAATCCGCATGCCCGAGAGCTAGCCATTCTGGGTGGAGGGTTCACGGGCCTCGCTACAGCCTTCCACTTGAGCAACCAGCTTCCCAATGCAAAAATTACAATACTTGAGAAGAATGACAGGTTAGGCGGATGGGTTGATTCAGAGGTGGTTCCAGTGGACAAGGGGGAAGTCCTTTTTGAATGGGGTCCACGAACATTAAGAGCTGGGTTGGGACCTGCGCCCCTTGCTATGCTTGAGCTGGTAAGCCCAATTGTGAAGAATCCTCAGTCCTTGTCGCTAAGGTGGGGTTTCTAGCTTGCACAACTTCACATAGGTAAAGACCTCGTCGCGATATCAAAGTCTAGCCCGGCTGCGCTCAACCGCTACATCTACTATCCCGATCACCTCGTTCGCTTGCCTGTCTTGTCAAAACACACTTCACTCTTGGAGTTGCTCCGGGTTCTGAATGCGGTACTTACCGAACCGCTATACGAAGGAATTCTGAAATGTTTCAGAGAGCCGTGGGTGGCTCCCCGGGATGAAGATGTGAAGGACGAATCTGTTGGAGATTTCGTATCGCGACGGTTTGCCAGGGAAATCGCAGATAACTTACTTTCGGCTGTATGTCATGGGATTTTCGCTGGCGACATCTACAAGCTTAGCGCCAGGACTTTGCTGCCGCAATTGTGGCACCTTGAGACCCGTGACCGAGAAAGAACGCCTGGGGTCCTTCTGGAAATCTTGTCCAACATGGTGAACCGTGTTACTCTCACGCCTGTCAATGTTGCTCTGCATGTGCACCGGCAGATTCTCGCGCTCCAGTCCCGAGAGACTTATTTCAAAAGAGTGCCTAACTTGGACAGCTTCGCTGAAGTAAGTGTTTATACGTTTCGGCGAGGTTTGGGCCAGATAACCTCTGCGTTGGAACAAGAGCTTAGCAAGAACAAGAACATCACCATCTTGCGCTCGGCGGAAGTCAAGGATGTCGAATTCAACGACAGCAAGAATCAAGTGTCGGTCACGCAAATGCCAGCTGGAACCACCTCAAACTATGATTATGTGGTTTCCACGCTGGGTCCTCGAACACTGAAACAGTTTCTCACCAGCGGCGCTCAAGCGTCGGGCTCAACGCTGGATCCCAAGGTCGCAAATGCCTGTGAACACAGCGACTGCTCCGTCAATGTCATGGTTATCAATCTCTACTACAACAATCCAGACTTGCTGCCGCCCTCACTGAGAGGTTTTGGCTATCTCATTCCGCGCTCCGTGCCACTCGAACAGAATCCTGAACGAGCACTGGGCGTCTTATTTAGCTCCGAAACATCGGGTCGGTCTGATGCAGCTGCCTCTCCTGCTGATGGCTCTTACTTTGAGTCTATTGACAGCGACCCCGGCAGCCCACTGGATCCGGATCCACCACATGGTGAATCAGGCCCTGTCTTGCAGGACACCGCACCAGGCACGAAGCTGACGGTCATGATGGGTGGACATTGGTGGAGTGAATGGGCACCAAGCGACCTTCCTACTGAACAACAAGCAATCGAAATGGCGCAGACTCTATTGAGAAGACACCTCAACATCAAGGAATCTCCGGCCGTGGCCAAAGCGCGGCTCAATCGCAACTGTATACCACAGTATCCTGTTGGCTATGCTCAGGACATGGCCACCATTCATGAAGCAATAATGTCCACCTTCCACGGACGGCTAAAACTCGCAGGTCCATGGTGGCGAGGCGCTCCGGGAATGAGTGACTGCGTCCTTTCTGCTCGCGAATCAGCTTGGGCGATTCGCGATAAAGAGGACGAATACACAGGGGTACAGGGGTACAGGCACGAGGCATGGGCCAGGACTCATGTCCCCACCAAAACAACCTCTACTGAGCGCATGGAGTGAGAGTCAAATCCACCGCATGTGTGCAGTTTCAGACGTTTTACTGCGAATCGTCCTTGCTCTAGACGATAAAACTTGGGATTGTCAAGAGGAGCCAACCATGCGAAGCTTTAGAGGCAAGAACTGCAATGGTGACGAAGTGTTTTATCACCGCCGATCGACTCTATAAAATAGCGAGGTCTTGTGGAGGATGTTATAGTGCGTGAGCCCACATATGTGGTCGACCGCCTGTACAACATTTCAGCCTTTTCCTTGCCCGGAGAATCCGAGTGAAGAACGAGGAGGAGGCTCTCGAAAAAGTTGATGACTGAGCATATATGTACATATCAGATATAGAACCGACACCTATCTACAAAGAGGTATTTCGACATTCATTCACTCAGCCCTGGGGAGCCGCGTCGGTACTGGTATATGTAATGCGTCGTGTCGTCAAAAGCTGTGGGTCTTTTTAGTAGGTACTACCTAATTAGTGCTGGATACAGTACAGTACGATACATGGAATGGAGTATCCTCAAGTATGTACGCAGGCTTGGTAGGCAGCGGTCAGAGAACATTGCGTGAACGAGTACGAACGAGAACAAGTACAAGGAAAAGTACTGTAGGTACTCGGTACAGGGACAGATGTACGAGGTACTAGGGGAGCGGCTAACCGGATCTGTACTCTATACTTGTACTTGGATTCTTGCATATCACACACACAGAAAAATACAAGTAGGTATAGAGGTGGGTCTGGACCTATACCGGCGGCCTTACCAAGTACACGCTTCCCAGGTGGAAGTATAGACCCGGAGCTTCACCGGGTACTTGTAGATAGATAGATGCAGAATCAGAGGTGAAGAGTGCTGGTAGAATTAATGCAACGCTAATATATAAGGTGGAAGACCATTCATCCTCAAAGAGTATGCCGCCCCGTGCCGCTAGAGTATCTCACGACAGATACCACCCCATAAGAATGCCGCAAGCTTCATGACAAGGCACCCATCCCCCCCTCCCCAACAAGATGCGATGTGATGTGATGCGATGCGATGCTCTGAGCGAGACTCCCCATTCCCTAATTATTAGCCATCTTGAGCAGATATCTCAAGCAGATCCGCTTGCCCCGTCGTCATGTCGCGTCATGGCGCCGCCTCCTGATCTCAGAAAAGCAAAATCCATCCGCACAAAACGCCAGATGCACATCCCTTTTCCTTTTCTTTTCGGTTTGTTTATAGTGGTTCGTTACACATTAAAGCAGTCTATTTTCCCCCGAGTCGCTTGCGTCTGTACGCTGTATGGTCGCGCTGGCAGATGCCCTCAATAGTCATGATAGGGCTCAAAAACTCCATGGCTTGAGGCATAGTCGCTCGTGACCGTTGCTGCCTTTGCAGACGTGGGGCCGAGAGAATGCTGTGCCCATCCTGTGCCAGTGGCTTGTGCTCGACGTTCTATAGTGTATAACGTCAGGTCTTGTTCTGAAGCCAAGAACATGGCACATCAAAGGGGGTGAAACTTACCTCTCTCGAAATCTCCCCATCTTTTCATCAGGATCTTTGAACTATCGAATTCACCTTCAGCTTCCCCGTGTCCGCCAGATTTCTTGGTCTCTCCATCAGTCTTCCTGGTGTCTCCCCAGCTGAAGTCGTCGAACTTCCAATATGCGTAGGCCGGCAGAACAAAATTCCAGATCGGGAGAGAGAGCAGGTAGATACCCATCCATGCGACATATGACCAACTGTGCGCCGTCATCACAATCAGCACGGCGGGAAGACCTAGAATGAGCCCCAGAAGAATAAGAGGAATGACCGGAACTGGTTTGGCCACGATGGAAATGATGATCAAATAGAACGTAAATGCGATGGCCGCCGGTAATACAAGGGTACCGATCAACTCGATAAAGACAACAAATTGCATACTGAAGCAAAATGTACCGCAGAGGTCGCGTACAAGGACAAGTTCCATCAGATTGTGGACAGTAGAGTTGATCCAACGACGCCGTTGAGATAGAAGGACTTTGAACTGGTCCGGCACAGTCGTCTTGCACACTGCCTGAGGAACAAAGACTTGTTTGCGCTTGGGGAAGGTCTTGAGCATGAGTGTCGAAAGGTATCTGTCTTCGCCCAGCAGCAGAAGATTCTTTTTGTGCAGTGTATCGACGACGTTTTCCGAATAGTGCTCCACGATGTCGGGGTTAGCCAGAATTGGGACCCAGTAGTTCTGCCCGCCCTTGGGTGATTTGATCCGGTACATGCAGAAACACCCAGGCAAGCAAGTGACACCGCCAAAGACAGATTCAAAGGATTTGGACAGATGATGCGAGATGAAGTATTCGAAGACCTGGATCCGTGAGACCCACGATTGCGTTTTGTTCGCGATCTTCGTTTCACCG